TGCAAATGCAGTTTAAATTAACAGCAGTCTTGGTTGTTTGCAAGCTGCCTTTGGTGATGACATGTTTGTGTTCAAATTGTCAAGCGCATGCGTGGAATCCGATACAATTCAACGACAGCTGCTGAGGTTTTTATTGAACTGGTCAAAGGGTGATTACCCGTTTCAGTACGCTCGAACTGTTTCACCAAATGGTATGAGCGTACAAACGCAGAGAACAATTCGAGAAAATGTAATGCTAATTTTTGTTCAACAAAGAAGACATTTTGCTCAGCCCTCGTACCTAGACAGTTGAGAATCTAATGATGCCAGTTCAGAAAGAAAATTTAGTTGCATATATAGGGTAGCTTCATTGTCCTCCGTGTGCGCCTTGGTCACTAAATGGTTTGCCGCTTCAAAACACTTAGGCTAGGAGTTATCAGGAGTGAACAATAGGCCCTCGTGGTTATGACCTATAGCTCTTGTGCAGTTCATAACACAGCGGTGTGTAATTAGAATCATAATAACAATTTGTGGCATATTTTACTTTTCAAAAGATATCCATTTTTTAACTTGTTTAGTTAATTCAAACTGTTTCGGTGATTGATCTAAAGAGAAGATTAGCGCCATCGATGTGGCCTTGCAGCTCAGGTGACAGAAGGCACGCTGGGCGATGAAGTAGCTAGCGTCCATGTGTTGTGCGCTACAATACCAATGAGGATACTGAACGCTTCACAATTCAAACCCTAAACTTCTTCAGTGGCAAAGTAGTCAGTTTTGCTGCTCAGTTCTCGAAGAGGATTGACTGTTTCAGTGGTAGGTTAAAAGATCGATATCCGCGGGCGGGTTAGGTCTGGATGACGTCAGACAGTTGCAGACGCTTTGATTGGGTGGCTGCTCAAAATCAAATGGCAAGCGACCGTTGGTAGCGGTCTAACTATACACAACTATCATAAAATTCTTGTCTAGTGCAACAACTTTAACAAGTCCTCGAGGGTTTGCGTAACCATTGAATGTTTTTAAATGTTGAACTCCCAACTGATTTTGATTTGTCAGCAAAACCGTGGTACATTTTGACAGCCAATTCTCTTAGTTTCTTTACACCAACGTGCGCGCTCTATATTTTTCTTAGCACCAGAGATTGCAAAACCGGTTCTCATACGGCACACAGAGGATATTACCATTCATTTTCAGAAATGTTGCCAGGATATCTATGTGTAATCCTGTATATCCCATTCTAGTTGACATTTTTATGGATTTGCATTAAGCCCGACTGGCTTTAGTGATCACACCTTATTGGATGGAAGACATTTTCTTTATTAGGGATCGGAAGTAATAACTTCAACGGTTTTCAGGTGAAATCAACAAAATCTATTCGAATTCAAGAGATTTATTAGAGCGTTAAATTTATTGGCTATCTGCGGGGTTCCAACTCGACGACCGTGTGGATGGGATCAAAGATCTGCGTTTCACAAGCACACCTTGAGAGTGAATGAAATATGCACTTCGATGGGCTATCACCATGGATGGTGCGAGCGCCGGTTCGGACTATGGCAGTCAGGATAAATGAATTCTTCATCGAAGGCACATTTCCGAAGGGAATGATTTGTTGGTTTTCTTGAAAAAAATCTGCATTGATTATTACTGATCCAGTAAAGACCACCTATATATCTTTACTAGACAATGCTGATCGAGTAATCAGTTTACAGTTCACGAAATTGAAAGTGCCCTTCGAAGGAGTTTCAATATTGTGGAACATTGTCCTACCGCACGAAGCCTAACCATACCGTCATTCAAGGACCGCATTTCCGTCAATTCTATTGCACACTAATGCATCTGCTCGGACGAATCGGTGTAACTAACAAGATGCTCAGCACGAGAATGGCCCAAAATGAGTCCGGTCTCAGTTTCTTAATAGTGGCCTTGGTTCGACCACCAATGGCCTTCTTCTATTTAATGTCGACACAATCAAACACAAGACGTTGAGGAAACCTGTGTGGAGGCACGCGTAACACATGCCACAACAATCGTAACATACACCAAACTATGTGATAAAGGTGCTAACTGTGTTGTTGATTCCCACGGAATCCACGAGTGGATAAGGTTTGCCTTTGCAACTACAAACAGATCGTCAAGCTGTCGATCTCCGACGAAGGAACCAGCATGAAGATATTAGACAATTCGATGTTTCGTCCCACGTAACTTTGATTGCATCTATCCGGAGCTGTTCTCCAAATAAATAACTCTCCTTGTTTTGTGGATTAATAACAACTGTACCTAACAACGGATGTGACAGGTAAGTGGAAATCAACGATCGTTCTTCATTTCACTGGGAATGGTCAATCAAGTCGAAACGTTCCGTCATTGTCAACAACCAAACTTGCGAATACTACAGGTTGCATGGACCGTCCATCTTAAGCCAATCGAGTAAATCCAAAAAATACTTGGGTGTATTCTGCTACTGTTTGCAGTTTTTCCTTACGTCATTTGTTGTTTGAACGTTATGTCTGGGACTGGTGAGAGTGTACGAAAGGATTTGTTCTCAAATCATATACTTTTTATCATGAAATCCGGAGTCTCGTAACTGGGTCAGTGTCGGATAACAACCAAACTGGTACAACCGATAGAAGGTGGAAAGTAAAAATTCTAGACCTTTACAAACGATTTTATTTTTACAATGAACGAAGATTCGTTTCCAAATCCGCGTTCGGTTTACTCTGCATGAGTCGGTTTGCTCATCAGTTGTCGAAGTAGTTGTTCGGGCGCTGGAGCAGTGAGCAGCGGATACTGGCTCACTTGACGCAATGCATCCACTATCTCAGAATCCGTTCGATCAGCAACACGCTTGCGACCGGCTAAGGGTGACTGGATTTGCGGAAGGCATGTGGTAGGTGCTGGGTCAGCGAACTGGAGAACATTGGCCGCCTGGGTAACCTTTGATATAACGTTTTCGGTGACCTGGCGAAAATGCGAAGGGAGGAATAAGTGGCCGGTTATTGATTTACAAGAACCAAAACAAAGTTGGAAATGAATATGGATGGAGATATTATGCTTCACATACGACCGACTCCAGTCGGTGTGCCGAACAAATCAGGGTAAAACAACGTTCATACCGAAGTAAGTGAAGTATTCACAACCGGAGCTAGTCAAAACCTGATTCGTAATGCATTGGCAGTTTGAGTCCACTTTAATGAGTCATAAAAACTTTTGAAGGGATAGAATATTCAAGAAGTTCAGTTTCAGTTCAATTTGTACAACCATTAGCCATGAACATTCGTGTGCCAATTTTGGTTTTTATCTCATGACTGCGAATTTGAATCAGAGAACCGAAAGGAAATTGCAACGCTGAGAGTCAAGTCAAAGAGAATACAGGGGATTCTTACTGATCAGAGTTGCAAATATAGAACAAATACACGAGCCTGACTGTTTACGACATTCAACCATAAGATTCAGCGTCTAAGAACACCGATTACGGTGATCACGAGGTCCCCAGAAAGGGAAAATATATGACCGAGCCTCTTGGCCAAGAATTTCATACCCCCATGCCGGATTTGAGTTTTAACACATTTGAATTTGTTTCCGCCGTTTGATTGCCGAAGCAATCGATTTCGTGATCTGCGTAACACATGCCCCAACCACAGTAATCTACGGAGGTCGACCATTTGCTCCCGTGGGAGACCGCGGTTGCCTAAAAATTTACGGCTGACCTCAGCATTGCTCATCCGGCTTCCCCACCAGATTCGTGCAATGCTGCGTAGACAGCGGTGGT